TCCGCTCCTTGTCCCTCCTATTCTGATGACGTGCCCACCCCAAAATAATAAATGGTTGTGATTGGCCCGGTAAGTTTTAACCGATGCCAGAATGCACCTTTATGATTGCATGGCCAGACTGATCTGTGGAGCAAAATAGAATATGAGCTTGCAAGATTAGGATGGTTTCACCAGGCTAATACTGTCCACCATCCTCTTTACCTCTTAATGACAAAGTCAGCTCATACACTAAGAAACACTGATAACTAACTGAGCAGTTACCTGAATACAGTATGAAAATAGCAAGAAATGAAAACAGTGCAGAGGGCTGCATTGGGGGACTTGTGACCTCAGTGTGTCTGACATTATTATTTCTTGACATTTTTTAATATTATACAGTATGCCATGCACTTGTTACATATATTTCATTTAACTGAACAGAGTTTTACCTCCTCTTAAACACAGTGTGCAGTATCGCTGAACTTGTCACACCCAAACAGGATATGAGAAATTCATTTGCAAAAAATGAGGAAAATAAATAATGGATATATCCATCTTTTTGCAAATGAACCCGTCATATAATAAATGATATAAATCAATGTTTTTTCTAATCACGTGTTGGACGTGTTTACAGCACGCGCACATGCATATGAGAAATTAAAGTATAAAGTCATATAAGTGCAAACTTGCAGTAATATTCAGATAAATAACTAAATAAATAACTTAATAAATATCATATGGGACTTCAGGAGCTCCACGGAAATAATAATAGTTGAATAGCTGGGTTGTCTCCATTATATGGTGGCTTTTTACATCTGAAGCCATAAGGGAATCAAATGATTTTATGATCACCTACCTGCTATATAAAAACAACTAATCTTTCAGGACCTGCGCGTGTAATTCAGGACTTCAGGACTTCTTACAAGTCCGAAGGTGATATTTTTATATTGTGCACACAAGATAACCCTTAAAAAATCACTTTACGGGACAACTGGCGCTTTGCAGGCTCTACTACATTTTCCTTCTGCTGTGTGCACCTGAAGTAGTTAGAGACGCATATTGCGCAAGATAAATGACTGATGGTCTATAAACACACCGTGCAACGTATTTAGTTTACTGTGGTTTTTATTTATTGATTTTATTTATATTTTTGATAACTGTCTATAGTATTCATGCAGAAACTGATAGTTAACTTCCCCCTCAGTGGGTTGATAGCCATTTTAAAAAAAACTTGTTTTACTGCAAGAATGAATACTTTACTGCTATTGTTCTACTGTTAACTATTACAACACGATTTAAAGTATTAAATCCATGCTGAATTGGGACATAACTTACCTTTCCCGTGCAGTTCTTCATGTTCATGTTAGAAATCCGATGTCTGTAATCCTGAGTTTCAGCTGGTAAAGGATGTAAGGAAAGGGATTTACAAAAAGTAAAGACGTTAAACACATCCAGAGCGCATTTTTTTTGTATTTTTTGTTTTGCTTTGCTGGTGAGCAGTTTACCTCAGAGTCATCATCTCCAGCTTGTTTGTAAGTGACACATAACTGTTAAAAAGCTAATGCGTTTTCCTGCCCGCCTTGTGTACGGCTGTGTGCAGCTGCACTACCTGATGTAGCAGGCAGGCAGCAGAGGGAGGAAGGATGAGGAGGAAGTCTGGTCTTAAACTGCTTGTGCAGCTTGTATGAAGTGAAATGAAATGGCTGCATGCTTTACTCTTCCAAACAGAATATAAATGAAATCAACGAGGACACAGGTCAGCCTACTGTTTCAATGTTATGATAGTGAACTTGGTCATAAAACAGGATGAATAGTAAGTTGGTAAGTTGTAACCAGTGTTGGGCAAGCTACTTGGAAAGTGTAGAGAGCTAAGCTACTAGTTACTCTAATATTAAATGAAGCTTCACTACATCAAAGCTATCGCCCTCAGAAATGTAGCAAGCTAAGCTACAGCAAAATGAAAGTAACTAGTGCAACTACATCCAAGCTTTTTACTAAATTGAACCAACTTCGTGCCAAGTCAGTGTTATCTTACTGATCAATAAAACTGTCAGTCAAACAGATAGGCAGGTAAAAAAGTTAAGTTAAATTGTTTACTGAACAGTGAGCTGCACTAACTCCCAACACGATTCAAACCACAACAGCAAGAATGAAAACCTGCTTCAAACAGTCACAACATGGTCAAAAACGTACATGCGTGTATGTATGTGTATGTACACTGTAAAAACTCAAAATCTTACCAAGAATATTTATCTCTAGTCAAAACAAATCTCATTACAATTGAAATAAGACTCATCACCTAAAAAGTAACTTGTTTTTAGACAATTTTCACTTGTTTCAGGAAAATTTTCACTTGAAATAAGTAGAAAAAAAATCTGTCAATGGAGCAAGTTTTTTTTTGCAAGCAAAAAAAAAAAAAAAACTTGCTCCATGGACAGATATTTATACTTATTTCAAGTGAAAATTTGCTTCAAACAAGTATTTTTTAAGTGTAAAGTGATTTGTTTTGACTAGAAATGAGGCTAGTAAACACATTTTAGTAAACACATTTTATAGTGAGCAGCATACACAGTTTGAATGAACGAGACGGACGCAAAGGAAATGGAGGCTGCGCATTGATCCTTTTGTCTCTGTCTGCAGGAACGAATAAAAATCCCATTCATGATGGGGTCAAATGGATTATGTGCATTATTAACCACAAAACAAGCAAATACTTCATCTTAATGACATATAACACTCATTATGCTTCAGCTGAATCCTCTAAGAAGGTGACCATGTTGAACTGAAATTAGTTTATCACGTTAAATGTCCGAAATTGTATGAAATTGCTCCAATGCGTTAAACCAATCTTTGCGCATAATCACACAGCCTGATATGTCCTGGCAAACACAGTGGGACTGCTGTACAGACCGTTGGTCTTTCTTACCCTAACCCTGGTTATTTTCTGAAAGCACAGAGCAAAGAAATGTCTTTTTTTTCTCCCCCAGTCTGCTGTCAGCAGGAGCGGCGGCTGCAGCGGGGATTTCAGCACCACGGATGACGCGCGTAAAAAGATTTGACAAGCGTCTCCTTTAAATGTGTTTGCTGCTAGTGAAATGATACATAATAAATGAAGACAGTGACATATTTTCAATAAAAAACAATGAGTTGAACGTTCATTTCAAGCTTTTGTAGTACAACGAGTTTCAGAATTGTGCGAGTGCGGCCGGAGAGCGGGCAGCAGTGTTTGATGCAGGAAACTCGATATGGACTTGAAAATCAATTTCGGAGTGGGGGTCGTTCGGAACGGTGGTGTTTGGGAATGGAGGGCTGTCCCCCGTCAGCTTCATGTGGAAGTTACTCTGTGTGGTAGCGGTGACAGTTTTATTTCAGTCCATAACAGAAATCCCCGCCTCGTTTGAGCTTCAGAAATGATTTTGGAAATATAGCTTGTGTGGACGCTACCACGCTAAGTGATCAATAAAAGAGCTTAACTACTGAGAAGTTACTTGATTCAGAAAACAGCGACGCTACCACCAAGCTACTGAGAAATGCAGTTAAACTACAAACGTCCGCTACTGTAGTGATGCTACTGCCCAACACTGGTTGTAACTTTATTAGTTACCCTATCAAGAATAATATAAAAACATTTTAGAATAAAGATTAGTTTGGAAGTTACAGAGACATGTTTTCTTTATACGAATGCCGTTACAGATGCAATATATAATAGGCCATGTAAGGTTAAATATAAATGAGGATTGTTCATGTACATATCAGACCCTCCATATAGATAGACACAGCTGCATTTTTTACATGCCACTTAGCAACAAGTGCGCTGTGATAACAAAATAAATAGCTGCAGGAAGTGCAGATTCTGTTATTTCATGTGCTATTAAATCAAATCAAATCAAACTTTATTTATATAGCACTTTTCATACATTAAAAATGCAACACAAAGTGCTTCACAAAATTAAAACAATGAAAAACCTGGCCCTCCCACCCCCCACATATAACACACACACACACGCACACACACAAAAAAAAATTTAAGGGCTATTAATACTGTCTGTAACTGCACAGACAAAACCATAGACCTAAAATTAAGATTAACCACTTCCGGTTTTTATGCCTCTGTGAACTAGGCGGTGGGCCGAAGCCGCCATTCCTTGTATTTAAACGATCCCTATCGGGGAAGGACCCAGATTTTTGTTAACAACTTCTTAAGTTTTCAATAAATCAAAAGAAAATTGTTGCCACCGGTACTTCTTGCACATTTTTGTAGATCGGTAACTTTATCACGTTACCTTTTTTCTGGCAAACAGAGCAGACAGCTACGTCCGGGGTCCGACATGCATGACGTGATTGTAGTTATCATCCAATGGAACGCTTGGAAAAAAGAAAAAAACCCTTGGAAAAATGGCGCTGCATGTAGAGCCACACATACATAGCCTAATAAGTCTCTTTTATGTCTTCAATACATAACGTGGTCTTTACACGTTACTGACTTTTTTTTAACAGTGTAGGTACCATGTATATTTTCTCTGTGAGCTTTATACAAAATAAACATATCTGATTTCACAAATTTGAGGTCTGTTATCTTGCTTGGGAACTTCACCTGTCATTTATCTGTCAAAATGATGAAATGTCATAAAAATGACCCTCCTCCCGCCACTATATTAATCTTTGTTGCTATTTTTTTATTTGTTTGCTAGCATTACATTAGCATAAGAAATGGAGTGCTGTATGCATATAATTCAGAAAGATGGACCAATCACTCCTTTTACAGACACAGGATGGCAAAAATTTATTAAATCAGTGTTTGAGTGGAAAGATTTAGGGACTGAAGAGAGTCTTATAGCTGAAGAGGCAGTGCGGAGATTTAACTTTAACAGCCAGTAACCTGCTGAATATGCTATACCAGCTAATGCTGGCTGTCACAGGGACTGCTACATCCATTTTACTAATATAACAAAAATAAAACGAGCCCAGAAAGAAGAGAAAAGGAAGCTTTAATTCAAAAAGAAAATGGAACAGAACGTTGCTATCAAACATGCAGTGTGAAACTGTAAATGTGGATCTTGAACTTCAAATCTGAATCTTGAATGCTGAATCTGTGAACAAAGAAAAGAAATTAGGAGCTACAATGACATCCTCTCACATGATCAGGTTCTGACAACTCAAGTTTATTGTGCGTAATTCACTGTTCAGACATAAGCTTTGTATTTCACTCTACTCAAATGAGCAAAACCCTAGTCAAAATCTATTGATAAATCAGATCACTGCATTCTCATCCACTTGATTCCATCACAGGAGGGAGTCATTTGCCCATCTAGCTGCAGTGAACACTGTTGAGATGAAGAAAGGTGCTAACTTAAATTAAGCCCCTCACTCATTCACATTACTTTTGAAGTCCAATAAAGTGCTCAGTAACATTCACAAACTACATTAATTAAAAACAGCAAGGGGAAAACACGCAGTTGTTATTTCCATTTAATCTCAGATAAGGTGACCAGATTTCTGAAATGAAAAGCAGGGACATTTCAAGTTCAGAGTACAGAAGTCATTAAATATTATTATGAACTAAAAAATGGGGGCAATTGCAGTTTCATGTATTTTGACAGCTTTCAAAGAATGCAATGGACCACCATGTCATTGTGGTCTACGGGCGTAAATGTTTTGTTTTTTATTTTCTTGTCATTAAAAGGACATTTCTTTTCCTCCTGCTTCCTTTTACTCTTCTATCAGTAATCTTCCTCTCCTAAAACAGAGCCACATATATACATAATATATTGTAATAGCTATCACATGGTAATGTTCACAATTCACTATAATACAGCCACACCAACAACAGTATATGTTACTGTCAGTGAAATAAGTCTTCAGTCCGCTCCAACTCTGACTTATTTCTTCTTTTGCCCTCATAAAATAGCTTCTGTCTTCTGTCTGTGGAGTAAATGAGTAAAACTATGGACAGCACCACCCTGCCAATGCAACCCACATAGCAGTCACAGGTAGTACTGCATCAGTCTTTGTGCAACCAGAATCAGAGCTGTGGCGTCTATTTCACTTGTGTTTTTTTAATCCACAGTTGAAATTGGGGATATTTCCGGGGACAGCTCTAGCTTGGGACAGGTCAGCCAAACTGGGGATGTCTGGTCACTCTAATCTCAGATGATCTACTGAAATAACACAAAAGTAAAATCCCAGCATTTTTATACAACTGCTATTTTCCCCCCAAGTGAGATAGGACAGAATAGTATGGGACCTATTTAAGAAAAATATGCAAGCATTAGTACTCCCTATTTCGGACACACAAGTACTAAACCAACTATTAAAGCAACAGTATGTAACTTTGGCTGCGACACACGGCTTCAGAAACTGAAACTTAACCATGCACGTTTACGCGTCACACAAAACAGCAATTTTAGTAAAACCGGGTCATACTTTATGGAGAAAATGTCCTCTGGTTTCCCCTCTGATGTCCTAGACTGCTCAGCCTCAACTCTGTGATTCACAGAGGTTCCTGAAAGCAACATGTAGGCTGCCTGCAGACCGAAGCTGCAGCTGCAGCAGTGGGTAGTTGGGGACAACTCTGCTAAATAAAAGGCTGCAGACAGACAGAGCAGTGGTAGGACACCAGAGGGAAAACCAGAGGACATTTTATCCATAAAATATGACCCGGTTTTACTAAAATTGCTGTTTTGTGCGACATATTAACGTGCATAGTTTAGTTTTTTGAAGCCATTTGTCATGGTCAAAGTTACAGAGTATTGCTTTAACAAGCACTACATATATGAATAAAGTATGTGTCTTCACATACAATAATTGTGATGTCACAACGCAGTGATGTACGGGAATAAGAATGGTGCACAGCCTCAAACCAAGGTGAAGCCTGAATCTGTGGATGTCTTCTGTTTGTCTTTTAGTGCTAGAAGTAGCAACAGAGACAGAGGATGGTGAGGAAACTCCGGCAAAGACACGGGCTCTAAGATCACACACAAGTGACTTCCACACGTCTGAGAGAGCACCACACTTGCTCCCAATACATTGTTTGATTTGCAAACATGAAAAATACAGATATGAAGCACACAGCCGGAAGAGAATAAAAGAAAAACTTTCTCGGTGTGAAACACTCACTGCAGGGAAGTTACTTCTTGCTGCTGAAGAAAGACAGGATGAGAGTCTGTTACTACACATTCGTGACAGGGGCCTAGCGGCTAGTGAGGCACGATACCACTTCTCCTGTTTCAGAGACTACACACGGTACCTTTCAAAAAAGAAAAGTGAGAACACAGAAAGTGTGTGTGATGACTCCTGCAGGAGGGGAAAAATGATGTAGCTTTCTATATAATGTATATGCTATGTTATGTTTTGTTTCTTTGTTACAAACTCTCTAATGCTACACATGTGATTTACAATCAGTTCAATCACTTTCCAAAAACCTTACTTTTTTTCGTTTAGCTGTTAGCTCTCTTCTGCTGTTTCCATGGAGGTTATGTGAGTAAACAATGATTAATTGACAACATTGTTTACACATCATCATAGCGTGTTTGCTTGGTTTATGAGACTCAGTGATGTTGGTCAGCAGATACTCTAATAAACGTGCAACAATCCCGGTTATTTCTACCACTAGGACTTAAGAGACCTAACGTAACCCAATGAGAAATAAGATGCAAGCCACTTCAGCTTCACTTTACCCATAAAGTGCGTGAAGCTGCTAGCGAGCGCTTTTTGCTAACGCTAACACTAACGTTAGTTTACACTTGCAAAACGTCACCATACGTTTGAACTCAGTACTGTACAAAACACACGTTGCAAGTCATGCATTTGAACTCAATACTGTACAAGACAATCAAGTTGCAAACATGTTTTTAATAATATAATAACGTTACTTACTTGTCTCCGTCGTGTCCATCTGCCGATTCCTCTGTTGAACAGCTGTGCTCAGTGTAGCTAAATCCGATAGGCTAACTACGGCCCTCCCTCGAAATCTTAGCGTTGTATTGGTCAAACTGTTATAGTAGACTGCAGCGTTTGCCTGAATATTAAACAATCTTTAAATTATAATTGTGGAAAAATGTGCAAGAATATAGAGTGGCAACAACCCGGATCTGATGAAGAATAAAATAATTAAAACAATTTTACAAATCCAGGTTGTCCCTGCACAGGGATCATTACTTTGTAAAACTAATGCAGATACGCGGCTTCGGCCCACCGCCTAAACCAGTTAAGTTGCAGTTACAGTTTGCATCAATGTCTGTAAAAGATGGATGCTACACGCACATCTTCCCCACGGCAGCACAGAAGATGTATAAAATCAGCAGTTTCAAGGTGGACACCCAAGATTAGTGTTTTCAATTCAGTATCCGACCAAATGTCCTCCCTTCTCTTCCTGAGTTATGACACTGAGTAATGGCCAGAAAAGTGTTGTGCAGAACATTATGATGTCACAGTGACGTTGACCTTTTGGATAGAAAATGTCATCACTTTATTCTATTAGACACAGAAATTGTGTCAAAATTTGCTTATGAGTTATGGCCAAAAACATGTTTTGTTAGGTTACAGTAACCTTTGACCACCAAATTCTAATCAGGTCATTCTTGCGTTAAAGTGGATGTTTGTGCCAAATTTGAGAAAATTCCCTCAAGGTCCTCTTGAAACACTGCATTCATGAAAATGTGACAGACAAGGTCACAGTGAACTTGACCAAGTAGACTTTTTTGTGCCACATTTGTAAAAATTCCATCAAGGTGCTCTTGAGATATTGCATTTATGAGAATGGAATGGACAGGCGGACAGACGGACGAACATCCTGAAAACATAATGCCTCTGGCCACGGCTATGCTGGTGCAGAGTCATAAAAAGACAATCATAAAATCAAAAGAAAAAAAACCCAACCAAACAGCCTTTTTTCAACTAACTGATCCAGCCAGCGGGGTGGACAGTGGACATGTCTGACCCATAGCTGATGTCGTAGATGCATTTTTCAGCTCTACCTTATTCTGCTGTGGATGCAAAATGTAAAATGTGTAAATCTTTTGTTCAGTGTTCAGGCTGAAGTCAGTATGCCAATATGAATAAAATGAACAAAAAGTATCTGGATGTTATTATCAAAAGAATAAATATACAATGCCACCCTGCTATTATTAGTGTAGAATAGCACATCCCTTCATGTGATCACAAGAAGATTTGCTGTGTCTTTCAGCACAGTCTCAAGAGCATGGAGGAGATACCAGGAGACCAGCCATTACACAAGGAGAGCTGGACAGGGCCACAGAAGAGCATCAACCCAACAGCAGGACCAGTATCTGCTCCTTTGTGTGAGGAGGAACAGGAGGAGCACTGGCAGAGCCCTACAGAATGACCTCCAGCAGCTACTGGTGTGCATGTTTCTGACCAAACTGACCATGAGGGTGGCATGAGGGCCCGACATCTTCTAGTGGGACCTGTGTTCACAGCCCAGCACCAGACTGGCATCAGAATTGGCAGTTCCACCACTGGCACCCATTCTCTTTACAGATGAGCACAGGTTCTGTAGAGGCAAAAATCGGTGCCTGGAATTGGGCCTTTAGGCTCCCGGCCTTGTCCTCCACTTGACTTCTCAGTTGTCCTTTTGATGTTGATCTGGTACCTTGGATTCAGCTAAGTATACTCAAAGAAAACACTGGAGACAGGCAGAGTCCGATGCAATCGAGTTTAATGTGTTCACAAGCTTCAACACATACAACTCATCGAGTCAAGCCCCGGAGCTAGACTGAAAAACAACTTTCAGTGCGTCTGCTTTTATGCTGGTGGAGACTGAAGAGAGTCTCCACCTCCTTCTGCTAATCCATCCCTCTTTAATGTAAAGCTATTGGTGGCAACCTTTTTCTTTTTGTCCAATTGTGAACAGGCCCGATTTTAATGGTGTATCACTTTCAATTTGAGCCTGGAAGTTCCCAAATTTTCCACCTTTAGCTTTGGATTTGCTTTCACTTTATTTTTAAAAAACATGTGAGTCTTGGGGACTTTCTTTATGCAGTTCCTTGTGCTCTTATACAATATAAACTTCAAAATGTGCATCTGGTAGTACAAACATTTGAATGTGTGTGTGCTATCATTATACAGAACATGATAGATTATGTGTGTGCTCTGTGGTGTGACTACGATGTTGACTCATAACTCTAATTTGTGAACACTTTAACATGTATAACAATGCTTTAACACATATAGATGCATTTCAATCAGTTTTATAGGGTCTTATACATAAGACATGGTTATATGATGGTTATATGGTTTTGTTTCTTGATCAGTTTATGCAGTATAACACTTTTACTGGATTAGGGATTAATTCTTACACTACAGTTCACACTGAGCACATGGGACAGGCTTGAAAGAATCTGGAGACACCACAATGAACATCATGCTGCTTGTTACATCATCCAGCATGACCACTTTGGCAGTTGGACAAGTGATGGTCTGAGGAGACATATCATTGTAGGATGGCACACAGACCTCTGTAACCCAGGTTATTAGGCCTTAAATGTTAGAAGGTGATGAAGAATAAGTCAGTTGAAAAAATTGTATGGTAAAGTTCATATTTTCCATACAGGAATTAATAAGGAGTTGATTAAAAGGAAAAACTAGTACATTAATAAATACATTTTAAAAAGAATGTAAAACTTCAATATTAAATGTTGGTAACACTACATAATACGGCCCGCGACTTAGAGCGTACCTACCGCTCACTTCGAGCGTACCTACCGCTCACTTTGCACCTAATTTAACAGAAGTACAGAGTAACTCTTGCTCACTTCCCCCACTATTTCCCCCGTGTTTTACAGTATAACTAGGCTGCGTCTGAGAGCGTAACTCCCGTACAATTACGTCCTACTTTACACCAACTTAGAGTAACTCTTGCTCACTTTCCCCGCTACTTTCCCTGTGTTTTACAGTATAACTAGGCTGCGTCTGAGAGCGTAACTCCCGTACAATTATGTCCTACTTTGCCCGGACTTACAGTGTAACTCCTCCTGGTCTTTTTTCCCCACCAATCATTTTAAGTACCAGGTATATTAAATTAAATAGTCTGCTGTACAATATGAGCACAGCCTTTCGCTCTTTGCAATTGTTACAATCTTGTTTTTTCTAAGTGTCAGCAGGCAAATTTCACCCCTATTCCAGAGATGTACTATTCATTATGGTTTGGAAAAATAATATGTTGGGAAATGGGAATACAGTATGGAAACTGGCTAATAACAGGCTGGCTGGTAGCAAACTTACCTCTCTAAAATGCACATCTATGGAAGTCTCGTACTGTCATCCAAGGGCAAAACACAAACTATACAGTAATAAATCCACAATAATGAGTCATTCAGAGTTATAAAATGTTTTTATTATGTGATTACACAGAAAACACATGACAGGCACTATTCCTCTCATCCATACTCCGTAAGTACAGTAATTTTTATTTATTTCATTTATCCTTTATTTAACCAGGTGAGTCCCATTGAGATTGACATCTCTTTTACAAGGGAGCCCTGGCCAAGAAGGCAGCAAACCAAAATTACAACAATAAAACATCATAAAACATAAACAGTACATAGATAGGTACATGAAGTACATACAGTACACATCAAACTGTAATCAGTGTCTAAGTAGATCTTAATTTCCCTGTAACTAGTGTCTAGGTATAGCCTACCTCTCCTGTAAGTACTGCCAAACTACGGAGAACCGGGCTGTATTATGAAGTTTGCACTGTTATCCCCTCCTTAGTGT